TATGGCGTTTTAGCCAATAGATTTTTATTTATGGCGTTTTAGCCAATAGATTTACTTAATTCTGATATCTTGATTCTTTCATGCCTTTCATTGGTTTTTAATACCCCCTGGTGAGATTGTTGTTGGAGAATGTGGTCTTACTGCTGGTGGTGAGTCCCTTTGCACTTAAAACACCAAGATAAAACTTCTGCTCACTTTGTCTTAAAGAGTTGTCAGTTTCATGCAGTTTCCAGTCTTTTCTTTGCAAGCTGAAAACACGCACATTGCTCTTGACCCTGAAGTGCTGATCACTCAAATTTTAAATAATGGGAGTGGGAAGATAGTGAGAACAATCTTCTGCAGAACAATACAGCCTTGCTGAGTTATTTAAGGGCTGTGCCAACATTAAAGAAATCACACTGATTGATCAAATCCACGTATGTGATGAAAAGGAATAACTGTAAAGGAAGATATGTGTTTCTGTTTCTTTTTAGATCACATAGAAGAGTTTCTCTTTCATGTATGAAGGAGACCCTCTTCTAAGTTGGTGCTGTCCATATGAAGCTTTTCAAAAATATAACTTTTAAAAATCCAAGTCTTATTGAGGGGTGTTTTATTAGTCAATATCAACTTGTAATGAACATGCTAGATTTTCTTTGTACCCTTGTGCAGCCAGCATGCTTAATTACATGACCAAACTCTATCCCATCTTATAGTCAAGCAGCCTTCCTAACTGTTGATTATGTTCTATGTTTCCAAAATGCACTGGTGTCACAGATCAGGGGCTTCAGATCCAGAGATGATACTCCTGCATTCTTTTCATTTGTCACTTACAAGGTGCTGGCAGTCAAAGAACATGAATAGATGGCTCTTATTGCTTCCATGGTATTGAACTTCTGTAGCTACAAATGTATTGTCATCAACCTTCCCAGAGTTCCCAAAATCAGATTACGCTGGTTGTCAGTGTAGCAAATCTCTGATCAGGACAATTGAATGGAGTCAGGCCATTGTTTCACCTAATTTGTTTTCCTATGACTAGCAGTAGCTGTATTTTGATATTTCAGTGTTGCTTTTGGTTTGCTAATATTTTTAACAGCATCAGATATTCTTTGCGGAAGCCTTTTATTGTTTTTTGTCACTCAATTAACTCTTCTAGCTTCTAGTGTAGAGATAGGAAATCTGTGTCCCTCTGAAGGTTTCTGAATGCTGGTGGTCACCATTTCCAATGCTGGCTGAGGCTGCTGAGAGTTGCAATTCATCACCTTCTGGAGGGCCCCAGATTCTCTATCCCTGACTTAGTGAAGTGAAGCCTAAACTGATTGGGAACAAATCTCATTGAACTTGGTAAGGGTTAGTTGTGCTGGACAAACAGGATTGGACTGGCATTCCTTATAGGGTTGGTGTAGAGAAAAAATAGAGAAAGGAGTGCTGTATGCTATCTCGAGTTTTTAGAGGAAAGGCAGTATGTAAACCTAATGAATAAATATATAACTTGGATTAATATGTATCTTTCCCTGTTATCGCAATCTCTTTCCTGTGATGTATAATAGACGGTACGTTTTCATAAGTACAAACCAGTTACCATATGCTATATAGCACTATTTGTGTGGATAGTAAAAAAAAAAAAAAATCATTTGCCATTTTGAGGCCCTCTCTATATACAAGCATTGTGGCTGGAATCTTTGATGGAGAAAGACTGAAAAGCAGTTAAATTAAGAGTTGTGGAAGATTACTTGACTAGATGGATGCTGAAAATGTGAGCATGAATAGATCTGCAAAGAGTATTGGCAAATGGATTTACTTGAGGTCCTTTTTTCTGGATATTTCTCCAGATATAGCTCTCGAAAAGATTGCTATAATGCAGATAGCTTTGTTTCTAAGATGTCCTCTGATGGCGCTGCTTTTTCCCCCAAGATTTCATTTTTCCTTCCAGGTAAATCAAGCCAGTCCTTATGAGATAGCAAAAACAGGGGGCTTTTTAAGACCTCCATATCTGAGGGGTCTTGGTTTGATGTGGTGGGTCACAACCCCCGTTGTATGCAAGGTTGGTTACAAGTCAATTCATTCTAACCACATTTGCTCCAATACTTTGCGAGAGAAGAGATGGTCACTTCCTCAGTTTTGATCCCATAAGGGAAATGCAGGCTTGATTATTATAGTAAATGTTTATCATTCAGAAGCGCCTAAGACTCTCCAACAATTCCAGGGATGGCTGAGGTTCACTGCTGCTTCACTCTTGAGGGCTTTGGGATTAGCGTGATGTTTAACACCTGACACCATCATGTAAAATTCTGTCAGCAAGAGACAGGTTTGGTTGAGATGGGACATGACAGCAGAACTTCTCCACAGGGGCTCATTTCAGTATTTGATCCCAAGAAGACCTGGTCAAAAATGCTCTGTTTATCCAGACTCTTCCTCTGGTGTTGGTGGTAGCTGAGTGTGGGCTTCAGTCAAGAAAGCTTTCAAAGCTTTGCAGAACTGGCCAGATCATGGCCTTTACATCGTTCATTTGCTGAATTAAAGGTGCTGGATGTACCCAGGCTGAAGTGCAATGAAAGTTCCAAAGTGTGTCATTTGAGGGGACTCCTACAAGACTACAAGACAAACGTGGCCTTTTTTTGTGGAAGATACCGCAGGGCCCATTCATGAGTGATTTCTTAAAACTTTCAAAACCCTGGACCACTGGAACCAGCTGGGTTGCCTGTTCCCATATTTGGGAATTGTCAGAGATGTTTCTCTAGCTACTACTGAAGATCTGAGATCTGGCAGGTGTCTGTGAAGGAGATTTGTCTTCTCAGCAACCAGACAGTTGAATATGTCCCTCCAGAGCAGGGGCAGGCAACGTTTTAGAGTAGAGGGCACATTTGAAATTTGGAGAGGGTGCGGTGGGTGTGGGCAGTCACAAGCCTGTCATTTACCCAAAGGCAGACTTGCCTATTGGAGTGACACCAGTGTGGGACCAAAGGCATTTCTGCAAATAGCTATATGGCTAGGTTGGTATTTTGCGTCACAATATTTTGCTTTGTGGCTTTCTATTTAATTTAGTTAGAAAAGCCTTTTAAGAAAAGCAAGGGGAGAGGGACTGTGGTGAGTGCCAAGAGAAGGGTTGGGGGGCACATTATACCATAAGGCAACTCATTGCATAGCTTTTTATTTTATTTTTACTTATCATTAAATTTATATGCTGCCCATCTCCCCCAGAGGATGACTCTGGGTGGCTTACAATTAAAAACCAAGACAATAAAAACAATAAAAATATAAATATCCCCCAATTAAAATTGCAAGTAACAATTCTATGAAAGCCAGTATATAATTCAAGATGATGGGGGAGCAGTATCAATCATCACACCAACCAGTTCCAGCAAGGTGAGCCCACATCAGGCCCCCAGGCCATCTGGCATAGCCATGTTTTTACACCTTTTCGGAAGGCCAGGAAAGTGGGGGCAGCCTTTAGCTTTGCTAAAGGTACTCACTTATTCCAGTTTCCTTGGGGTGCCAAGTGAAGCCTGCTTGAAGCTCCCAGATTTTGAAGGCCCTCTTTTTAGGAGATCAACATTTTCTGCTTCTCAAATTATATGACCTGTCTTGATTGTATTGTTTTATCTCGGCTGTCCTGTGTAGAATTATTTAGATGCTTTTGCATATTTTAATTTTTCTGTGTAGGCTACCTGGAGAACATTTGTAAGCCCATTTTTCAATCTCTCTTAGGGCTAAACCAGCTGCCCTCTGACCTTGGAAACAGCCAACCCCTGCCATCCAACAGCAGGGCTGGATTTGCTGAAAATGGAGGGAAGGCAAGCCAGAAGCGGAAGAGAATTGATATGCTGCCAGGTAAACTGGGCTGCATGTTGGAAGAATGTGGAAAGCAAACTGAGCTTGTTCCTTGGAGATGTTTTGACAGTGAAGTGAGGAGATCTAAGGAGCACAGCCAACATCCTTCTCAAAATGGGCAGGAAAGTCTTGTTATTTCTACCTCATGCACTTCCTGAGTGCTGAGATTTCTGATGCTTGACACCTGATAGCTAGAAGTCAACAAGGTAAAACTGTCTGTGTTGGAGTCAAAATGAATCTGTATACCTGGGTTTATTTGGGTTGGTCAGTTTGATAAGCAAGGCAAAGGTGAAGGATTTGTTATCCTATTTCATTTATCATTAAATTTATATGCTGCCCATCTCCCCCAGAGGGTGACTGGGGGTATTAAGCCATACTTAAAAGTATGAGCCAGAGGTCTGGAGTGCAAAATCTGATCTGATGCAGCACGGAGCAAGCTTCCTGCCCCATCTTGGGCAGTCGGTTCCCGTTGCTTTCCCTTCACTGTTATACTGAGAGTGTATAGGATGGCTCTCTGTAGAAGAGAGCCATCCTAAGTATACGGGGAGGAAACAGAAAGTATTTTTCTAACAGAGGGAAGAGTTCTGTATTATGATGTCTTATAGTTGTGAGTCCCCACAGCAACTCTCTCGCTTCCCAACCCTTGATCAGTTTCAACTTCTGTCACTGTGTGGAACGGAGATGATCTTATTCTGCTCTTCACGCGGGTCTGCTTTTCAGATCAGGAGTTTGGCAGCAAGAGCCCTTCTTTAAGGGAATTTTGCCAGATGGTTTTGCGTGTGCAAATAACACATGTGCACTCCTCTGGATCGTGGTCTGTGTTTTAGGGGTTGTGCACCTGCCATCGGGGGATCATTCAGAGGCTGTGATCGGTGCTTGTATTTTGTAAACGTCTATTTTGAGCTTGAACCTTGACACCTAGAGTTCTGGTGTTGGAAAGGACAGGTCCTTACTAGGGGGAAGAGTGTGTATTTACCATTGAGTTCTTACGGCTTAAAGTACTTTGAATCTCTTGTTACATCCTGTTCTGTAGTTGGAGTTCACCCCTACTCTTTATCCAGATATGTTTTATCTCTGGCTCCACTGCACATACTCCCCCCCCACCAAAAAAAATACCAGTTAAAAAAATCTCCCATCGTTTTTACTAGGTTAGAAAGCATTTTCAACCCTTTTTCTAATAACGACCTCCTCTACAGACAGCATCCAGACTCTGAGTCTTGACTCTTCCCCAGTGGAGTTGGGCATGTCTGATCCAACAGCATGGACCACTGCAATGAATAATTTAGGAATGGCTCCAATGGGAATGACAGCGGATCCTCCTTTACCTAGTAAGTAGCACTCTTGGCCCAGAAGAGTACAAATGTGTCAAGTGTCATTGTTCTTAGAGAATGCATACACCCCAGATGCATGAGATCTATGCCCTGAAGGATCCCACCCTCCTTTCTAGATGAAAAATAAATACACTGGCACTAGCATGTTGCAGAAGTGCTGGTGATACTCCAGTGCTTTTCTACTTACTCCTCTCATATTAATCAGGAAAACAAGCATAAACGGAGTTCTTTTGCCAGGTACAAATTGTTCTCTGTTTTTCTCCTGCTTGGCTTCGCTGCAACCTGTGACTTGGCTCAATGGCTCAAGTTATGACTAGAGCTATTTATATTCATGGGCAGTTTTCTGTTCTTGACTTCTTGCTGGGCAGAACTATCTACTACTGATAGCCAGTATTCCAGTGATCCTTATTGTGACCAATTTTTGTAATATCAATTCTAGCTGGAGGGTATTGAAATGGTGATTTTGGCAGTGTTTTGATGTGCAAAATGCTATATCAATCTGCCCAGTTCAAGCTCAGGTGCACTTTCCTCTCTCCTTTAAAGTGGACTGGGGCTCTTCATGCTTCCAGCCTAGAAGTCATCTTTTGTAAGTCTTTTTTTGAACAGGAGAAAGAGCAACCCATCTGGGTGAAAAGAAGATAGGAGAGTAACTAAGCAAGTGTTCAATGTGTTGGCATCCACACCTTTCATTTTAGTTACAAAGCAGGAAGACAGGATGGGGGGCAACTCGATAAGTGACTAGATAAACTCTGGATGCTTCCTCTTCCAGAACTCTTCCTCTTCCAAAATCAGAATGTGAGATAGTCCAGGCTGCCAAATAGCTTGACTTTTCCAAGCTCGTTGCCTTAGGAATCTCTCACAATCCTGGGCTCTTGATTGTACTGATGTATAATGTGCTTGGAATCCTCATTGGGATTCTTGTGCTATTACATCTGAAATACTTGTGTCTTTCAGACTTTGACCCTGCCCTTGGAATGATGACAGGGATCCCGCCAATTAATCCATTGATGCCTGGTTTGGGAATAGTGCCACCACCAATCCTGTCAGATATGCCGGTGGCCAAGGAGATCATTCACTGCAAAAGCTGCACACTCTTTCCACCTAATCCAAGTGAGCCTTGCCTTAATGCTTGTGACCACCCTAGAGGGATGTGGGAAATCCTTGGGGTTAGAAAGTGACACCCCACAAGGCTGCCTGCGACTAACAGTAGATCAAGAGAAGGACTGTGGTGCTGCAGAGATCTGGTTTCTGAGATTTTGAAGGAGATGGGAGGTAACGGTGCCTGGCAGAATCAAGTGGGCCAGCTGCAGGCATGGCTAAGAGCAGATTTTGTCAGTTTGTAGATGAACACCAGATGCCTTTTGCTCACTGAAGGTTTCCGTGTCATATTTCTTGCAATTTGTAGATCTTCCTCCTCCCACAACAAGGGAAAGACCTCCTGGATGTAAGACAGTGTTTGTTGGAGGACTGCCAGAAAATGGGACAGAAGAGACCATTGTAGAGATTTTTGAGAAGTGTGGAGAGATTGTAGCTCTTCGGAAGAGTAAAAAGCATTTTTGCCATATCCGTTTTGCTGAGGAGTATATGGTGGATAAAGCAGTTTACCTGTCTGGTGGGTATTCATTGATTGCGCTTTAGATTGTTCAGAAAAGGGAGGGTCCTTTCTCTGTAATGTTCTTTTCTAATCCAGGATGTTCATGCAGCTATTCTATCTTTCCTCCCTTAATAATGGGGAAAAGGACAAAGAATGTGAAAAAACACTGTAGGCCTACAAGAAGCACAAAGTATAGGTAAATTCTGTGAATGATTGTGAAGTAAAACCTCAGCCGGACAATGGACACCCCTTGGGAAGCGTCTGGCAAAAAGTATATTATAGATTACTGTAAAGCTCCGATGTGCAGATGAAACTAGCATAAAGTATAATTTCAGACATCATCCCAAAAGGAACAGAGTTCAGGCAGTATTCGCTCTGGCTCTGATGACAGAGGAGCTCCAGAAAGAGGATTCGAACACACCTGCGTTGTTCTCCTGTCCTAAGTGCCTGGATTCAAAATCACCCCCAAAGGCCCACATCTTTTCACCATGTCAACTGGAAGCTTTTCTGTGGTCTGACAGGCAGTTGGGGGATGAGTTGCAGTCTCTGGCTGAAATTGGCTGCCTGCTCCTGGTTTAGAGAAGCATCAGAAGTATCTGGCATTATGTTTGCAACGCAGGCGGTGTTAGGAATCCTCAGGAAGGTCTTTCTCTACTGCTCTCAAGGGGTCAGGCCTTGCAGCAATAACAGCCCTTCTGGCAAACTGATTTCTCCTCTTTTCACAGGTTGAAATTGTAGTAACCCTGCTTATTAAAGGAGTTGATTCGAAATGTTTTGCAGCCTTTGTGGCCAGTTAGTATCTTTGAAAATGCAAATGCTGAGAATCACTGATGGGCACAGCTGGGCATAACAGGCCATGATCGCTTATGTACCAAGCTCAAAAGAGCAATATTCCCTAAACGAAGCAGTAGCTGTTTGCATTTCTTCGGATTTGATTATCTGGCAGTGTAGAAACCCTAGTGTTTTAAGTGAGAAGCCAAGGAAGACTCAAGCTGTAGGACCCTGCCAGAGATTAATTCTTTGTCCATCAGGTTATCGTATCCGGCTGGGTTCCAGCACCGACAAAAAGGATACGGGGCGCCTTCACGTGGATTTTGCTGAAGCCCGGGATGATCTCTATGAATGGGAATGCAAGCAGCGGATGCTGGCCAGAGAAGAACGCCATCGCAGAAGGAAGACAGAAGAACGGTTCCACCCACCCTCCCCGCCTCCCGTGGTTAACTATTCAGATTATGAGTGCAGTCTAGTGGTCGAGAAGCTAAAAGGTACTTGGGGATACATTTCATTGGCAAGGTGATCATGAGATCATAAGCATTGTCCTCATGCTTAAATAATCTGTCCATTTAGCAGAGGGTGATTGGATTCACCTATCATGCAAGGCTTTGGCTTGCTTGTTTCTTGAGTGAACCTCAGTTGACTGGTTCACACAACCCATTATGCCATTTACAGGCCACAGCAGTTGAGTTCCCATTTTGTACAAAGATGCATTTGGCTTGGTTTGGGTCGGGCATGATGCAGTGGGTGAGCTCAGATGATGCTTTTCCAGGATCTCCGTCAGGGATCTCCCTGTCATCTGCTCTCTGCTTTTTTTTAACTGACATTCTATAAATTTGAACCTAGGGCCTTCTGCAGACAAAGCAGGAACTCTATCCCTGAGCTGTGCTGCCCCTCTACATATAGAGGAGAACATTGGAAATGGATATAGGGTGAACCTCCTCACCCACAGTCTTCCAGAATACACTTTGCTTGAGTGGACTATTCTACCCAGATCTCTGCATGGGGAAACTTTTCCTTTGTGTGCTTTGTAAATATCCTTGCAAAGGGATGAATTGCTTTAATAAGTGTGCCCAATAAACAAGTCTGTGCTTTGCAACTGAATTAGGCTTTTCCTCTTCATTCAGTTGATGCCAAGTTTTTGGAAGCAGTTCAGACGTTGCTGGCCTGGTTAGAGAGGGGGGAAGTGAACCGGCGGACGGCCAACAGCTTCTACACCATGATCCAGTCAGTTAACAGCCACATCCGCCGGCTGATGAATGAAAAAGCGGTCCATGACAAGGAAATGGAGGAAGCAAAGGAGAAATTCAAACTTGCGTTGTCGGGGATTCTTGCTCAGTGTAAGTGCAAGGGGTCGCAACCAGGGGGTTTTGCTTAGCTGGTATGTACATTTCCTTGTTACATTTCCCACTGAAGGTGAGACAGAGACAGAGAAAATGTAGATCCAAAGTATGCATTTTCCTCCTTAGGGGAGATACTTTGGTTCATTTGTTGTGCATGTCTAACAGATTCTGCCATTCTAGCATGAAACAAAGAGATGGATACATGGAGTGTGTTCCTGATCCCAGTCTCTCTCCCTCCCCTCCCCCAATTTCTGATGTGTAAGGAAAGAAAAGAACCTCAAAGACCAAGTCCTCCAGCTTAGACCGTTCTGAGTAGGACAATACGTAGGTTGCAAAGTCCATGCCCTTCCTTCTGGTGATGATGTGAGTTCACTCCTTTTCCACTGAGGCCTGAAAAGATGGCTTGTTCCAGAACTAAGGTACGTGAAGGCCACGTTCTCCAGGCTGTGGGCTTTTGAAGGCAGATACCAAGGCCTGGTAAATGTCATGCGCTTCCAAACCATTCACCCCACCAGAAGGCCAGCCACTCATTTCTACAGCAGGTGATGCCGCTGACCACTTCTGGAAGGCAGCTCCATTTTTGCCAGATTCTTTAATTTCTGGGTTATATTAGGAACAGGCTTAAGGTCAAGCAGGCCTTTTTAAAAATCTCTCTCAGCTCCGTTTTCTGCCTTAGTGATGGTGCTTCCTACAGACTTCCCTAAGATTTTGCTGATTGGAAAGGGGCTTAGGCAACCAAGGTAGGTTGATAGCCCAGTCCTCCCCCCTACCCACACCTTTCTTTTCATTTGAGGATCTGCAGGTCATTTTGCTAATTGAGAGGTTTGAGTCTTCCAGGTAATGTAATTCTGTTGTATTTTTCCTCTCCTTTCCCATGTTCTGAACTGCATTACGGTCATTTAACGCTTTCTCCAGTCCTGGCGTTGCTGTGCAGTTTGGACTCCCGTGTTTCTCCCTGGCCTCCCTCTCCAAGGTGCAGAGAGAGCAGCTACTGTGCTCAATTCAAGGCCACATCTCAATAGTTTCCTGGGTAACATTGGGCTAGTCTTAGCTTCACACGGTTATTGGTGAGAGAATACAATTAAAGGACTTCCCTGGCTAAGCTGCTTTGAGTTTTCTGAGAAAAGGTGGGATTATTATGAAAGAACCATCTGAACCCTCAGCTGCATGGAGTGGGAGGAGTGCTCCTGTTCCATTCTCCACAAAACCACTCAGGCTGGCTAGCTCAACCAAGCGAAGACTCTGCAGTTGTCATAACCGGAGAAAGGCCCCAAAATGGGACATTTAGGAGCAAAGGAGGCCTTGGATGGGCAAAAGCCTAAAGCCTCTCCCTGCTCTCCTGAGGTGCCCTAGGATGGAGAACTTCCCCTACCCCAGGCTGCAGTTTTTCCCTATGATCCAAGACAGCCAGAAATCAAGGAAAGAACCTTTGGAGAAAAAGGAAGCATGAAGCCCACCTTTACAAAGTGGACTGGCATTTGCTGGCAGCGCTTCAGATGAGCTGGTAGATGTAGGTCCACTGCTTTCCTATTTTGGGTTGTGCCGTTGTGATGCCCCTCATCTTGCATCTGAGAGAGTTGCTATTTTGATAGTCTTTTAGCCTCATTTCTTTTCAAGGTTGCCTGGTGTAACCATACCAGCTCATCCTAAGCCAAAACACCATATCAGACCGTTGGATAGCAGGTGTAGCTCTCAGCAATACCAGAAGCACCCTAAACTTGTATTGTGATAGTTTGCGTTTTAAGAAATACATAAGATAAATCCCGTTTGGAGTTGTCAGTCTAGTAGCAGGTTGAAGAACAATATTTCCTACAGCCAGTAAGCAGTCAGTGATTTTCAACTTTCCATTAAGGAGCTGATGGTCTACCTAACTTTTGGCAGGGTATTTGCAGGAAAAAAGTGATGTGTTTTAAACCTAGAGTGGAAAATTTTAATTTAATGGGTTTCCATGGGAAGCAGGCAGTAATGTGGAGTCCTTGATGCTTTCTGAGCTTGGTGGTTCACCTGTAGACGTCTCATTACCCAACACTTGACGTAGACTTAAGTAGCACAGCTCTGAGTCTCCAAGATTCACCTTGGAGGCCTGAGTATAGACCCTGATCCTGACGCCAGAGTTATTTAACGTCTGGCATCTGGTTTCTTTGGCCTCTTGAGAGGGCAGCACCCTAATCCTAAGCGCAGAATATTCTCCCTGCAGAAGATCAAGCACTGTGGGACAGGCAGTCTCTCCCCAAAGAGAAGAACGTGGCTCAGAGCGGAGAAAGCAGGAAGCCACGCTAACTGCCTGATGCCATGGAAGATCAAACAGGCAGGTTACAAAGACAGTTAGCAGTTTGGTGGAGGGTTGGCCTTCCTCCTTTGCTTGATGCGCTATCAGGGTGCAGCACAATAAACCTTGCCCTTCCTTCTAATCCTAAACCAAAGTGTAGCTCTAAGCCTCTGCCCCTCTCACCCCTGTCCGGATACGTCCGTGGCGAAAGCGCCTGAGCCTGATCCTTGAAGTCCGAATCATGGCAGGTGAAGCTGCCTGGTCACCCCCACACAGAGATCCCTGTTCCTGAGAGCTGACCCCAACCCTGACCTTTGACCCTGGGGCCCTGATCTTTGGCCCTGGGGTCACCACTGTTTCCACTCTGGACCCGTTGCCATAATCTTAGACAAGGACTAAGGGGGCCTGTCCTTTGACCTGGGGTCCTGACCTTTGACCCGGGGTCCTGACCTTTGACCCGGGGGCTCACTGCTGTTGCATCTGGAGTCTTCCCTCTTGACCCGGGGCCGTGACCTTTGGCCTGGGGGTCTTGACCTTTGACCTGGGGTCTTGGCCTTTGACCCCGGGCCCTGTTATTTTGCTCCGGGTTCCTGGCCGTTGACCCAGCGGCCCTGAACCTTGACCCCGAGGTCACTGCTGTTGACCCAGGGTCCCTCCTTTTGAGTCTGGGGTCCTGCCCCTTGACTGTGGTCATGACCTTTGATACAGGGGCCTTGGCCTTTGTCCCTGGGGTCCCATCCTTGGACCTTAGGCTCCTCGCCTTTGGCCTTTCATACAGGCTTAAAAAGAAGCGCTCTGAGTCTTGACGGTTCACTTCGGAGGCCTGATTATAGACCCTGATCCTGACCCCAGAGTTATTTAATGTCTGGTATCTGGTTTCTTTGGCCTCTTCAGAGGGAAGACTGTAATTCCAATTGCAGAATATTCTCCTAGTTCCCAATCAGGACTCTCACTCTTGAAGACCCACTCATGACTGGTCACCCACACCCTGACTCCTTGTCCTGAGTGGTGACTGAACCCTGTCCTTTGACCCATAGGTCCTGAGATTTGAACCAGTAGTTCTGACATTTGACCCTGTGGTCTTGGCCTCAAACCATATGGTGCTTACCTTTGATCCTGTGGTCTTTACCTTTGACTTTTGCATCTTGACTGTTGACCATGGGTTTCTGTCCTTTTGCCCTGTGGTCCTGAGAGTCCTTTGGCTCTAGGTCTTGAGCTTTGGCCCTCAGGTCTTGAACTTTGGCCCTGGGGAGTTAAACTTCGCTGCTGGGGTCCCTCTTTTTGACCCTGGGTTCCTGACTCTTGACCCCGTGGTCTTCACCTTTGATACAGGTGTCTTGACCTTGATGCACTGATGATTTAGTGTACTGATGAGTTCACCAATGATGTTACCTAGTCGGGTAATGAAACATCTGCAAGTAAACCAAGGTCAGAGGTTATCAAGGACTCCACAGTTCAACCCTGAGCTACAGATATTCTGTTCTAGTGAAGTGAGTAATATTATGGCATCTTGGTGGGGGCTTTTGGTGTGGGATTTCAGAAACAAATGAGTATCCTAAACTCTGGCTTTTACCCCTTAAAATCTGCCCAATTTTGAGGAGCAGGTTTGGGTTTTTAAGGGCAAAAGCCTCTGCAAACTTAAGGCACACATTTTATTCTTAATCTCCCTCCAACCCTCCCCAAAGCAAAGATCAGAAAGCTTGCTCCCACCCATTCTGGGAGTAGTAAGAGCTGCATATGGCCTACAGGTTTCCCACCCCTGTTTCAGATGTTGGAGAGAAGCCTTTGTGTCTTCATAACTGGTGAGGTAGTTAATTTAACATAATTAATGTAAAATTATAATTCTCACATAATCAACTTCATTTTGAAACAACAAACAAAAACCTTACCATCAGGAAATCTGTTTGCTGTGATTTTCCATATATGTTCTGTACAGGTAATGCAGTGCTGGCCCCACTGGAAATCCCACTCTCTCCTTTTGGCTTCTGAGATTTGGGTCAGCTTTGCCCATGCACTTTCAGACCCATCTTTGTAGCATTTTAGGCAAAAGATTGGCTTTAAGACTGAAAAGGAATGGAGCAGGGTTTTGAGCCCAAGCTGCACTTGCAATTACAGTCTTCTGAAATAGCCCCAGCCCTGGTGATGATGCTCTCTTTGCGAACAAGAGCTTCTCTCCGGCTAAGCATCTGCTTTTCTCCTCTTCAGTTTCCAGAAACTCTCCTCCTCCTTTTCCCATAGGTTGTTTTCCCTACCTTTCGATGCCACCGCCCTTCTCATCAGTATCCCTTCCTGGCTTCTCCCTGATTGGACCGAACCCCCTCAAATCAAAACCCGACAGGTGCTCCATGCTGCTGCTGGCAACACAACCTCTGCAATTCTGGATTTTTCCCCCCCAGGGCACCGCCTTCACCTAACAAATCCTTTTTTTTTTTTTAATTGCGCTTTCTTACTCCTTTACTCCTTTTTCTTGCCCCCCCCCACTTTGGATGATATTGTGGCCCGGTTTTGCCTGCTGATTTTGAACCTGCAGTCGAGCAGATCGTGGCCGTGTACCATTCTGCCTGCAAACAAAAGGCGTGGGACCATTTCACGAAAGCGCAGCGTAAGAACATCAGCGTGTGGTGCAAGCAAGCCGAGGTTGGTACCTTCCAGTACGTTTCTCTTAGCTCCAGTTGCGCCTCTAGGCTTGCTTAGAAAGGATGGATTTGTTTAGCCCACGGGCCTGCAAGGTAAGTGGCAGCATACAGACCAAGCTGAGGTGATAACAAAGTGTAGGCTGAAAGGCAGAGAAGTTCAGAATAAGAGAGTCAAACAGGACGTGTGTTACGAGTGCCCTTGCTTAGAAAATAGGGGTTCCTTTGGCATTTGAAATTCAGCTGGAGTCATCTTAACTCATCATAATCTTCATTAGGAAGCCGATTAAAAGCTGTACTCCGGGTCACCACGACAGCTACTTCTTTTGCCACTTCCCACCTGGATTTTTTTTTTCTAAATTATTTTAATTCAAGTGAATTGGGAAGACAGCAAGCAGGTGGCAGCGCCTCTCCAGCCTTGGCCGATTTGAAAAAAGCTAGGCGAGGGTCAGATTCGTTTATGCTTTGGAAATCGCAGGACTGTAGACTAAACTGGGAAGAAAGTAATGGCAAATAACCTCTATATTATAACACCTGTATATATAACACGTCTGTTACGTGAGCTGCATCGGTTGCCATTTTGCTTCTGGGTCCAGTTCAAGGTGTTAGTTATCACCTTTAAAGCCCTTCATGGCACAGGACCAGGTTAACTGAATAGCCATCTCGCCCCTGTTATATCCGCCTGCCCCACTTGGTCTGGCAGAACGGGCATGTTGCAGACCCCACCAGTCAAGGAATTTCGGCTGGTGGGGTCTAGGAAGAGGGCCTTTTCCGCCATGGCCCCCACCCTGGGGAATAACTTACCACCCGAGGTGCGGTCCGCCCCCACTCTCCTGGCCTTCCATAAGAGTGTGAAATCTTGGCTATGCCACATGGCCTGGGGGCCTGATGGGGCCTCGCATCGTTGGAATTGGCTGGTGGGGTAATTGATTCCCCCTGTCATCTTGAATTTGTCTTTTTATATAGTATGATTTTTTTTAGCTAATTTAATATGGATATTTATATTTTTACTGTTTGATTTTAATTGCGAGCTGCCCAGAGTCACCCTCTGGGGGAGATGGGTGGCAGATAAATTTAATAAATAAATAAATAAATTTATTTATTTTACCTGGCTTTTATGTGCGTCTCATGTGCAGTGCACGTAAAAACAGGTGGAAGTTTGATGGCACGTCCCAGCGCCATCTTGACTTTTTTTTACCATACCTTGTGGAAACCATTGTAATCAAAAATGCTTCAGAGTCCTGCCATAGGCTTTCTTAGAAAGTAAAAATGATACTGAGTTGCAGTCAGACTCTTCACCTGAGAGCTTGCCCACCTGGTATATGTCTTTTGTACCAAGCTGTGCCCGTGATGGTAGCCGTTTGTGTCCCCAAATTCCAAGTGTATCGCCCAACCCTGGACCTGATAGGGGTAATTTCTGGTCAGCACTGAGATTAGCTCTGTGGTTTTTGTTCATTCATTCATTCATTCATTCATTCATTCATTCATTCATTCAATGCCACCTGACTCCAGATGACTCTGGGCAGTTCACAATACACCAAAACAATATTAAAAACAGTGTAACAGAGACAAGCAAACAGCAAAGCCAGGCTGAGAGAAAGAAAAAGAAGCAAGGCAAAAATGGCAAAGCCCAGAACATCCCAACAACTGACGTCCAACAAAGGGGGCTCCAGCCATCCTAGCACAAGGCCTGGGAGAACAGCCAGGTCTTTATGGCTTCTCAGAACACCAACAGGGTGGGAGCCATCCAGATCTCAGGGGAGCCTCATCCCGGGGGGCAGACACTGCGATAGAGAAGCCTTGGGGGCCCAGGATGCGATAGGCCCCAGGATCAGGTACCTGCTCTGAATTCAAGTTTCATCCAAGGGCTGGGAGCTTGGACAGAGCTCTTGACAAAGACTGGCAGTGATTGAAGCAAAGGGCTCTCTAGTTCCTCTTCCTCTGGAAGCCTCCCCTGACTCCAACAGCTGTTGGAAGAGAACAGATGAATCATTGTCAGGTATGGATTAAAGGACTTCTGTTGGGGCTGGGGTTTCAGACTGTGACTTTCCATTGGATGCAAAGGTGACATTTTGAATCATAGGGCCTGGTGTCTGCTATGGGTATATGTAAGAGAAATGAACGTGACAGGCATATCTTGAAGGAAAGCATCTTAGCGTCAAGATCACCAAGGCATCCTTCCTCAACCTGGCACCTCCCAGGTGAGCTGATCTACAATTCCCATCATCCTAAGTAATGGGGACTGTAGTTTAAACCCTCTGCCAAGCCCATAGCAAACAGGCCTGGATTCTGGGATGCTTTTAGACAAATGGATTTGGGTTTAAGATCCAAAGGTTCTTCCAGGAGGTTTTATGTTTTACTGTAAACTTCTGAGAGAACTCAGAAACTCAGTGGACAGGCTAGTAAGCAAATGAGTTTCTTCGATGAGAGAGGGAGAGAACCTGGATGTGTTTAGTCTTGAGTAGGTGAACCGAGGGAAATATAATAATAGCACACTGCCAACTTGGGAAAGTGTGTTGCAGAAGACCAACATCTGCTCTCTTTGGTTGCAGAATATGGAATAATGTTCATGGAAGAAAGCTACAGAAAGGCAAATTCTAGCTGAATGTTAGGTCAAACTTCCTAACAATAAGAGTAGTTCAAGAGTGGAAACAATTCCAGGGTGGGGGGTGGGAATTAGTGGGGTCTCCTTCACTGGAGATGTTCAAGCAGAGGGTAGGTTATCATCTCTCAGGGAGCTCCTCTTGGAATCCCTCCCATTGAACGGGGGTTGGACTCGGTGGCCTGCATCATACCTTCTACCCTCTGCGTACAGATAGGAGACTGATCTTACCTGCGGATAACCCATTTGGGGATTTTACATTTTACCATAAACTAATCAATATGGCTGGAGTACACGCATCGGGCTAAGCCACCGAACAAACAGATGCCAAGTTCGACATGTTACCATCTGAAAGCAGCCACTAGGTTTGTAACCCGGTTAAGGGTGTGGTGCAAGCTCCCCCATTATTCAGTGGGTTTTGCTAAAAGTAGCATCCCTGAAATTGTCTGGGTCACAGTGACAGCTGTCAACCCAAAGGCCTTTCCACCTGGCCTCCGAAGGATCAGTAGCCGCAGTGCTCATCACTGGGAGGGGAAAACCTCTTGCAGTCTCTGTTCTTGGCAAACCATTAAAAAGCCACACACACACATAAAGAAGAGGTTCGTTGCAATCAGCGGAAAGTCCAGGTAAGTTGTTCTGACGTGTAACCTGTAATTCAAGGCAAGGCTTTTTCCTATAAGCATTCATTGTTAGTTTTATTTCAGTAAAAGATCAATGGGAACGAAACAAAGAAATATGGATCCAGCCTGGAGAGGAATTTATCTGCTTATGCGCAGGACATATTTATATATATTTAAAAAACAAAAACATTTGTATCTTACTGTTGTTCTTTAAAACAAATAGAAAAAAACAACCAACTCCCCTTCCTCATTGCAAGTTCCATTAAAAAGACAAAAACAGAATGAAAAGTACAATGGAGGGTATGCTAGAACATCCGAATCAGCTACAGGAGAGAAAGTTGATGATCTGCTGAGTGTTTTTTAGTGGTTTGAAAAAACTCTACCTTTGAGGTGAAAAGCAGAGTAGACAAACACCCAGGAAAAGCTGAATACGCCTGTCTTGGAACAGCAGTTCCCCAGCAATGGTGCTGTTCTTAAATAAAAAAAAATCCTGCATACCCACTCAGAGTTCCAGGGTTTGCCAGCCCAATTTAGTACATCTGGGGCCTTTTTTGCATGCAAAATAGAAAAACCAACAGCAACCCCCCCCCCTCGCCCCAATTATTTGGCTCTGGACTGGCTGCTGTTTGGCTTATTGATGGTGCTCAGTTTTAAAAACAAGGTAGCAAGCCACCTTCAGAAGCCTTATGGACTCAGTGCTATGGAAAAAAAAACATGTTTTGAAATCATGTACAATGTCTATTTATATTGACTGCATTATGAAAGCTGGGAGAAAAAAAAAATCTGCCTGAAACCTTGGGAAGCTGCTGCTAGTCAGAGGTAACTAAGTGCCCTCCAGATGTTTTGGCCAACAATCCTGTAATGCTTGCTTTCATAAATACCCCGCTGTAATCCAAGATTCCTGGGGAGCTTGCTCTGATATAAACCTACTAAGTTGGATGGACCGTACGTATCTAAGCTAGATATTTATAAAGTAGCATCCTATGTTCCCAGGAGGCCTCTGTCCACTGTGGTGGCTGCTCCTCTTTGGAATCTAGAATGAAAGAGAACCTGGCACACCTTCGTATGATTTTACTGAAAAGCCTCTCAGTGAAAATGTCGTAAGGGTGTTCAAATATTGCAGTAAATATACCTTGTTCTCCAGTAATGTTTTGAGGACATCCCTTAACTTTACCTTCCTTATCTTGGGGGCCTTTCATATGTATGGAACTACATCTTCCATCATTCCCAACCAGAATGGTGGGCATTGGATTCCCAACACGTGCCGAGGAGCCCAATTGTGGGGAGGGAGGCTTATCAAGTGAAAATCGAGAGCAGTTTTCACAAAGGCCAAACTGCACTGTAGTATAAACAGAAAAAGCAATGCATTCAGGTTCTTGCCAAAGTTATTTTGGCTTTTGAGGACCCAGAGGAAGATATGTTTTTATTGGGTGTGGAATATCTGGAATGATTCAAACTGTAAATTGGTTTAGTTTATATGCTGTTTTTCCATGATGGACTGTGGCCATAGTGGCTCATAACAAAATGTTTTAAAAATGCTTTTTAAATCCTAGGAACTCCGTAACCTTCACAATGATGAACTGATGGACATTCGACGAGAAGAGGAGATGGAAATGTCCGACGATGAAACAGAGTCACCCGAGATCAAAGAAACAGAAGAATCAGGTATCCATGTAACGCTTACAGTATGAAAAACGGAAGACGCCCCTGATTCAGCTGTGAGCAAAATTCAGATATGTTTGTTCTATAATTATTTAATGTGTCCCCATCACTCACACACTAGGAGCGACCTACTTAAGCAGTATATCTGAGTTATATAAATCAGGGATTAAAGTATCAAATCTTAAAATGCAGCCAAAGAATTGTACAAATGCACATTGTGGATTATCAAGTAGAAAATGCTTTGTTCCTTCATTGTAATGCTGTTGCTTCCGAGTTCCCTTCTTTGAGATGAATTTGGTAAGCTGATCTAGGCAGCATATTAACATGATTCTCAGGGATGAATGTAAAATAGGGGGCAGGCCTTTGATCATGCAGTCATATCTGCCATCTTGACTTTTTTGCCCCCCCCAGCTATCCCTGATTCAGCTATAATGTTGCAAATACAGAGGAAAAGAAAAAGCATCTAGCAGAGCAAATAATTCAAACAGGCAAGTCCAGTTGTGAATCAACTGCATTTACAAGGACATGTACAACACGCACACAACAAATAATTATGGAATTAGATCTTAGAACAGCCTCCCTCTATGTGATGGCCTTCAGACTTTTAATTGCCAGAATTCCCCTGCCAATAAGGCTACTGCTGAGCATTCTGGGAATTGGTTCTCACATCTGGAGGATCTTCTGCTTGGGGTAGGCTGGTTTAGAAGAAGACCACCGAGAAGCTATTTGTGCACGGTGGAACACTGGCCTGAAATTTGTGATAAGGAAAGCTAGCCCATCTCAGTTTTCTGTCTTCCTCCATCCTAGCTTTAGTATCACAAACAGAAGCTCTGAAGGAAGAAAACAACAGCTTACGGTGTCAGCTGGACGCCTACCGAAATGAAATAGAGCTCTTGAAGCAGGAGCAGGGCAAAGCAGAGCGAGAAGATGACCCAAGCAAGGATCAGCAGCTGAAAATTCTCCAGCAGACTTTACAAGGAATGCAGCAGGTGGGGGCTTCTCTTGTGATGTGAGAAGGAGGCATCTCCAAAATGGTTCCTTGGTGTCCTTTCCTTGGAGCAAAAGCTCATCTCATTGTGAAACTTGTAATTTATCCAAAACCCCCTTTCCCAAATGAGAGGCGTAGCTGGGCTCTGCCTTTTTTCGGACTGACCCAGATGACAGGCTATAGTAGGCAAACGCTTGAGTTCTCCCCAATTCTTCATCAGAAAAGAAGATAGTAAAAAATCAAGGACATGGAAGAGGCAAAAAAGGAAAGTTAAAAATTAGGGCAGAAGTTCCATCTAAGAAGTCTGAGTCGCTCCCAGGATGGGGCTGTAATCTGAATGCATTTGTTAGCAGTAGGTGTCATCTACGTGAGTTTTATTGGTGTTCAGGAACAAAGAAAATTAGGTTTCCCCTCCTTGCTAAGAACACAAGGCAAGTTGGAAGGATATAGGCTATCCTAGAAAAGACGCTTTTCTCGGGAATAGATTAGAAGAAAACGGGAGGAAAAAGTGGGAAAGCAGACAAGACTGTGCTATTGACTTTCTCTACAGCTCACATTGGCCTTTGTTGTGTTTATTCATGCATTATTTAAGTTTTGCATTGTCTAGGCTGGAATTGTCTTAAATTACTACATGGCATAGTAGTAATATTAAGTGGTAAATTACTACGCTGCACTGCATTTTCCCCCTCCATTCCAGCATCTTCTGAAACTACAAGATGAGTGTGAAAGAAGAGAAGCTGAGTTGGAAAAAGCAAAAGAAGAAAAATTACAGCTCGACAAACTGCTTGAGAGACTGAAGGAAAAGGTAGGAATCATTCTTAGCCAATGACTGTATGGGCTGTGTCTTCTGTAGCAGGCTTTGGACGGTGTGCTGCTCTGCTTTTTCTCCCTAAACGCCAAACATTCGGGGTAGGACGTTGGCATAGATAATGCTGTCTGCTGATGGAGCTTTACAAAATAGTCTGCCATCGTAGTTTTGCCAGAAAAAAAAATCATTTTGCAATTTACACTTCTACTGCCCCCCCCCTTATATTTCAAAGGATATAATTTTAAATATATGGGCAGTAACAGCTCAGAAATCAAGCAGATGGAAGTTGGCAACAGATTCTGAGAAGTAGCTAGCCCGTATTTCATTCATTCATTTATTTATTTATTAAGCAAATTCCATAATTATGGTTATTTTTCCTCTGAAAAAAAAATAACTGTGTACCAAAGAGATCTAGATTCTGTGCCAAAGAAGCTTTCAGTTTTGATAAAGGCAGATGTTTCCTATGTCTGATTATTTGAGAATGGCAATGCTTAGACGCCTGTCAGTTACATTTTTGCTGACTTTTCATGCTTCCAGTGAAGAATTTGGATGTTCTCCATATAAAGAAATCATAGTCTCGTCTTATAGCAGTATCGCTTTTTGTACTGGCTTGCCTTTCTATATAATGCTTCTGAGCCGACAGTTTCCAAATATTGCTGGGTTTACGTGATCCGTTATTTTATGGGGTTTTGTTTTGTTATACCAAAAAAACCAAAATCCATTTTATTTATTTTTATTTATTTATCCAAGTTATATGGCTGCCCATCTCAACAAGGGACTCTGGGCAGTGAACAGAATTAAAATAAAATAAAAACAATTACAAACATTACAAAAATTAAAATCCAAAGCAGCCGAGAAACATCAAACCTCAATCACTAATATCACCAAGAAGCGGGTCCTTGCGCGCATGCGCGCACACACACATTTACTTTGAAAAAGATTAGCAGCTACACTGGCTTTGCTTTCTTGAATAACCAAGTAACTTGCTGGTAAATTCCTTCTTAAACTTGGCAGCAAAGCTAAGGCTGTTTTAATCATAAGGAAGACAGAAGGGTCTTGCATTAAGGGTCATACACTCACGGGATGATCACTTTTCCTTCTTCCAACTGAACGTAGCAAGAACTGGCAGCTGGACCTGACAGAGGGAAAGATCCAGTAGATCCTAAAGATCACGTAAGCTGTCTTCTGAACTTTGTGAATGGTAGTACTTACCATACCTGTCTGTATGCATTGCAATTCCATTGCAGCCAATCTATTTATTTGTTATTCTGTGTGAGAATGAATGAATGAGAATTTCTTCTGGGAATGAAATATAAAACATAATTTTCTGCCATGGCTCCGGCTCTGTGGAACAACTTACCACCTGAGGTGCCCCCACTCTCATGGCCTGCAGGAAGAACATGAAAACTTGGCTGTGCCAGATGGGCTGGGGGCCAGATGGGGGCTCGCACCAGTGGAATTGGCTTGTTGGGTAATTGATTCTACCCCCCGTCATTTTGAATGTTTTTAGTCTTTTCATGTAGTCTGACTTTTTAATTAATGAATGGGGATATTTATATTTTTAACTGTTTTTGGGTTTTACTTTAATTGTGAGCTGCTCAGAGTCACCCTCCCGGGGAGATGGGCAGCATAGAAATTTAATTAATAAATAAATAAAATAAAATAAAGTAACCTTTTCCCCCCAATCTGCTTTTTAAATGATGTCCTTTAAGTTAATTGCCTGCGACAGTGTAGTTATTCCAACGTCTGCAGAGTGCAAGTCAGAAATTGGCACGTGGTTAAGAGACAAGGCTTGTGCCATATGCTGATTCCCCTTAATTCCTTTTAGGGCAGCAACTTGTCACCCATCTGCTCAATGGGTCCAGAGAAGGAGAGCCTACGTGAAAGAGAACTTCACAGCAACCCTTTAAGATTGGAGAGAGAAGCTTTATTAGTGGGTAAGGGCCACTGAGCTGCAGGATCCTTGGGGTTTAGATTCAAATTAGGAACATCGGAAGCTGCCTTACACAAAGCACCATTCATTTATCTCTGAAATGTCCACGCCGACTGAGACGCCTTCCAGGGTTTCAGACGGAGGCCTGGGCCATTCCTATCTGGATCTGAATCTGATCAAACATATGCTGTAGGAAAGCCTCTGGTCTAGCACAGTTTAATACTGAACCCAGCCTAGTTTTCGGTGGTTGCGTCCCAAGATTTTGCTCAAGGGCCCTAAGAATGATATCCAGCAATGCAGCACATACCTGATCTGAATTAAAACTGCACATAAACGGCAGCCCCCTGGATATGATGGCAGAACAACTGGAGCCTCCAGTGTTTGTTTTCTCCCTTTAATGCTGTGCTATTTGCGGGTGGTGGTAAGGAAACCCTCGAACTGTTTTCCATCAGGGGTGTGCACAAAGGAATGAAATGGTTGTGTTTGGGTTGCTTTCCAGAAGTACTACAGAGCCATTGGGGACAGCCATGGTTTGGCAGAAACAAAACCTGGAAGATTGGGATTTGGGACACAGCAAAATCCAGACAGGACAATTTGGGCAAGGCTGGCATACAACATGGTCTCTTTCCCTCCTCCATGCAGAAGATCAGTGGCCTGCCCACTCTCCAGTCTTCCCAACTGCCAGTTCCCCAGGAGGCATATCCTGCTGGCCTGCCTGTTTCCCCAATCTTTCTATCTTGCTGAGGGGAGAAGGGGAAGAGGAGATGACCCGCACCGGCCGTGCCCTTCCTTCCCTCCCTCTCTCTCTCCCCTTAGCTGTTGTTCTCAATGCCCTTGCCTTATTCCCTCCACTCCCCCTGCCACAAACCACTTCTGCCTGGAAGAGCCCCATTTTATTCCACCCACAGAGCAAAACACTCAAAATGTGCATGTTTCAGTTCAGGCCCAGATCATCCCAAAACAGCTGTTCTGTGTACAGAATGATCTATGCACAGAACATTTTCTACTTAACACTCCAAAATACAGAAGGGCTCTTGTAAGAAATTAGGGTGTGTTCTGCGCTGGCATCTCTGTCTCCTGGGAATAACATCTTCCCCTCCCCCCCACATTTTTTTTTAGGAATAATCTCAACTTTTCTGCATGTTCACCCTTTTGGGGCAAGCATCGAATACATCTGCTCCTACCTCCAGCGCCTGGATAGTAAGGTAGGTGGACAGATTAAAATGTAAACTGCTAGGTAGTCTTTGCCACCTTTGAATGGATCCCAAGCTTTTGCAACTCAAGGAGCCCCTTCTGCTTTTAGAGTGCACACAGCTTCTTTTCCATTGTGTGGGTCAACTTGGGCCAAGTAATGAAACAGTGTGCTTGAACCCCTTTTGGCTGAGTTTGCACCTCATCCTAAGTTGTTACGATCTTTTTCATTTTTTATTTTGTGTGATCTGAGCCATTGGGGTTGGTAAAACCATGGTTTATCACTTCCTGTAATGTGTGAACCAGCCATCCTGGTTTATTCAGTAAGCCATGCTTAAAACATAACTTGATGTGATGTGCAGACCGAGTCATTGTGCTTTATAAGTCGTAGTTTCTGGCTTAGCATAATGTGAACTCCTCTGATTGTAGCTTGTTCAGCAAACTGGTTAAAACAACAGATTGTGAAGTCAGAAGTGAGTAAGAAGGTTGAGGATGCTGTGCATCTGTTATGAAGGCCTGCACCCATCTTCCTAACCATCCCATGGTTAAACGATAGACACTGACTAGTTTTCATCACTTAATACCATTGTATAAAAAAGACTATGTGGGAGATGCTCTTCAGAAGGCAAAAGAAAGATTTTGTCTATTCAAGCCTCTAGCAGGGCAATCAACTTAACCAGATGCTTTTGATGGCAGTTTTACTATCCCAAACATTGAGGGGTTATTCCAGTTTGTTAGTTTTAACGAGATGCCCCTTCTCTTTTTCTAGATTTGCGCTAGTGAAGTGGAAACCCTCATGACACGACTCCAGCATACTTTCAAACAAGAGATGAACGGAGTTGGAGCGAGCCTAGAAAAGAGATGGAAATTCTGTGGCTTTGAAGGACTGAAGACTGTAACCTGAGCTTGAAGCCGGGAGCACTTTGAACACTAGCAGAATGTGCAATATTTGTAGCATACACAGATATGGATTCTTCTTAGGAAAGCCAGTCCTTAAACTACGTCAAGAAAATTGGGGGCCAGTTTTTAAGGACTGTAAGGTTCTGATTGTCCTTTTGTTTGTTTGTTCATTAATAAAATGAGACTTTTTGCAAAAGACTGTCATGCACACTGTTGGGTTGATACTAACCCTCTCTTTTGGATCTTTGATACTTTTTACAACTCCTGTTGGCTAAAAACATTTTAATAGTTTCTTTGAACATGTTACACTCAGGCCTCTGTTAAATGTTTTTACCATTGAGAGCAGCTAAAAAAATAAAATATTCAGTAATCACATTGGAGACACTTCTTTTCTGGCCCCTGACATCATTTGATAATACAGAGAGATGCTCAATATTTAGAAGCAGAAATTTCTGCAACGTTGCAACAAAAATGTGTTGGGGGCGGTCAGTATCAAAAGAGTGGAGCTTTTAAACTTGTTAAATTTTGGGTGAGCAGTGAACATTTTGGGGTGGTCAGAGCAAAAAGCAGCAGCAAAAAAAAATCCAGATCAAGTTCTTCAATCTGACAGAACGGTCATTAAAATGGCTAGTGCGGTTCCCTGTAATCAACTTCCACATATATTCAGACAGGTTCTGAAGTGTTGGTTACAAGCTGGAAAAGGGATCTTGGGTTGTAGTGAGTAGGTGAATGAAAACAACATTCCAGAATAAGGATTCAGTGAGAGAGACTCTCTATGTTGGAAGAGAATTGAGTAAAATCTCCAGATCCAGAGCAGACAGTCAGTATCACAACACATTTATAGAAATCAAGGGTGGGATCTCGCTCACGGTGGAGCGTAGTTATAATTCTATAAGTAGTTTTGTCTCCTATTGGTTGGGGTGAATTGCAGCATTTCCAGAGGACCACAAACACTGAAGCACAGACATTTAGGACAAGATTTTGAAGCAGGATTTTGAGCATATTACTGTTTCCCTTCTGTGTTGGATGTAAGACTGGATCAAGCAATAGTCAAAGGGCTATGGTATAATTTGGGTAGCCCATTCTAGAATTGCCAATAATCTGAATGTAATGTATCTTGCTTATTTAGCATGTTCACAGTCAGATCTACCACGAGGGAAAGCAACCATTTTAGGAGGTCGATGCTGAAGGGTGGTGATAACAGATTCTTGTCTGCTCATCCTGTTCCTTACAGCTGTTCCCTGGGTTGGAGGATAGCGAAGTGGGTCATGCAGTCTCTTCTCTTTCCCCTAGGCAGTGTTTCTCAATCTTGACAACTTGAAGATGTGTGGACTTCAACTCCCAGAATCCCCCAGCCAGCATGGCTGGCTGGGGAATTCTGGGAGTTGAAGTCCACACATCTTCAAGTTGCTAAGGTTGAGAAACACTGCCCTAAGGTATCTGGCTGCTCCCCAAGATAGAGGAGATCTTGACCTGTCCTCAGAGTCTTGAATAAGAGGCAACTGTCAATCATTCTAGAAAGAATGATTGCAGAAGGAGAGAGAAGAAAGAAGAGAATCAGAGTCTTGGCCAGCAAAATATCTTGGTTAGATTAAAGCAAATAACATCCATTCGCAGAGACAAATACGTGGGCATTTTTCAGTAAGTACAGATGTTTCTGAATGGCCAAGGCCAGAGTTGTAATACGGCAAACATCAGATTCCCCCACCTCTGAACTAACTTTTGGCCACCTCCAGGGTGGCCAAAACTTTTTGGAGGAGAGGAAAACCCTTTGCATTTCCCAGCATTAGCGGTTTCCATCATTTTGGCTAGGTTCTTCTACAGAAATTCCCAACTTAGCCTCGGATGTATATCCAATATCTCAAGGGGTGTGAGAAAAAAATAAAAAAGGTTAACCCGCTCAATGTCCTGCTTCTGAAATGGAGTAACAGTAATGCCCTGCTGAGAGAAGAAAAGGGAAAGAGCCCTCTAATGGGGGTCGGCCATTGGAATATCTGAATTATGAAACCCTTCTCTGAATCAATGGGCACCACAAGCGGATTTGCGATTTCAGCAGCTGAGATCATTTACTTAAACTCTGCCCGCAGGCATCTCCCAGGGCAGTTGCGCCGAGGGGTGGGGCCCTGCGTGCCCCTGTCGCGTGCGGTGACGTCATAGAGAAGCGACTCCCCCGTGCTTTAGAAAGGCAGGAAGAAACCGCAAAGATGCCTCCGAAGGCGAAAGGCGGCGGCAAAGGGGCAAAGGGTGAGGGTTGGGACCGGGATGGCCGCTCTCTTCTCTTTCCCAGTTTCTGCTTCTCGCCCCTGCTGGGAAAGTTGCTGACCAATTCTGCTCGCCCAGCAGGAAGCGGTCTTGCCTGAAGGTGGCCTGGCAAGGAATTCTGGGAGTTGTAGTTCTGGGGCCATGCTTGGAAATGCGGCTCGCCCTGATCACTGGTCCCTCTGCAGACCGACAGCTCCCCAGCTTAGTTGGGATGGCCGCGACAAATGCATCGCTTCTGGACCCTGTTTGTAGCACAGAATAGGGAGACAAGCTGGCAGTGGGATGTGCAGGACTTCCATTAGTCAGAATACAAATGCCCCCTCAGGGCCAGGCCAAATTTCACAAAATAGGGAACAAGCTTTCCTCTTCTGCTCAGACTTGCTCTTGGCTGGATGCTGAGTGAAACTGTGGGCAGTGTGCATGAGGGAACCCCCAGAGGATGATATTCATGGTGGTTCTGGCGTTCTCCTGCTTGCTCCCTGATTCTACCAGGTGAGGAGTGACAGCCTGGAGCACTGCAGTCCAGTCCAGCCCTGCCCAGCAGATTCAGCAGATGGAGGTGAAGCCATGTTAACTATCCATCCCGTTTCACTGTTGCTTTCCCTTCTTGTGTCTTTAAAGGAGGAGCATCGTCTGGCAGTGACGCAGCTGACAAGAAAGGTCAAGGGCCCAAAGGAGGTGGCAGTTCCGTGAAGGTAGGTCTTCTGGTCACCCCGTGTGAGATGGCGTCCGAGAATGCACTTCCAGCCATGAACAGGGTTGAATGAGTAGAATGAGGCATCATCCTCTCAAAGCCAAAGATATTTCAGAGTGGAGAGAATCCAGAAAGAAGGTGGCAGTGACCTGGATTTGCTACAAAATGCCCAGTGTCATAAGTCTCTTAATATGTTTATGTTCACTAAATAAAATTAAGGATATTTGGCTTGTTATTTTTAGGGAGTGTCTTCAAGTCAGTCTTGATTCCTGGCAACCACATGGACAACTCCCTGCAGTTTTTTTGGCAACACTTTTCAGAAGTGGTTTGCCGCTACTTTCTTTCCAGGGCTGAAAGAGAAGGACTGGTCCAAAGTCACCCAGCTGGCTTTGTGTCTAAGGAAGGATTAGAGCTCACAGACTTTGGGTTTCTAGTCACTACACCAAACTGGCTCTCTTTATTATTTTTACTTACATATTTTTATGAAAATGTTGCTGAACAATGCTTTTGGATAAGGGAAAAATCACTAAATTAAATTAGTCCTTAAGTCATGTCCGACTCTTCATGAGCCCATGAACCATATTGCGCCAGGCCTTCCTGTCCTTCACTGCCTCCCGGAGTTTGCTCAATGTCATGTTCATTGCTTCAGTGATGCTATCTAACCATCTCATCCTTTGCCATCCCCTTCTCCTTTTGCCTTCCATCTTTCCTAGCATCAGGGTCTTTTCCAAAGAGTCCTCTCTTCGCATTAGGTGGGCAAAGTATCTGAGCTTGAGCTTCAGAACCAATCCTTCCAATGAGCAGTCAGGGTTGATTTCCTTACTAAATTAAATGTTACTACCAAATAATCTCAAAGCCCTACTAATTCTCAGTCTCTCAAGATCCTTATTCAGGTAGCCATAAATTGGGAAACTGAATTGGGGCACTAGAAACTGCATCAAGTCAAGGATTAGTGACTGAGAAGCAAATGACACTGTGGCTTGGCTACCAGTATTGAGGAACATAACTGTAGGAGTATTGTTAAGCCAAATGTGGAAGGACCTCTCTGTATGTATCTAAACTATGTTTTGGGTTGGATTTGTTTTTTTTTTTTAGGTGAGGCATATTCTGTGTGAGAAACACAGCAGAGCTCTGGAAGCCTTGGAGAAACTCAAAGCTGGAGTGCGTTTCAATGAGGTAGCTGCCCAGTATAGCGAAGACAAAGCCAGACAAGGAGTAAGTCTTTTTGTTTCTCAAAACTAGAGCAAGAACAAGGACGTGTTTCAAGGTGCAGCTGCTGTTTTCCCCTCTTTATTTGGGGGACCTGTGAGCAGCTCAGTTCCCTCAGGATTGCTTCGGTTATCTTCTTTGCAGCGTAATAGGCCCAAAGGGAAACTTTGCTGTCCGTTAAACTTTGGGGACTCTAGGATATCTGAGATCTGGACTTAAACATAAGGAGTCGTCAGCTGTAGAGGAAATACAGAGAAGTGTGCGCTTAGTAAAAATAGCGTGGGGTCCTTGCTGGATGTGGGGTCACTAGTCTGTGTGCATTTGGGTTTTTTTTTTTTTTTAGAGTAACTAAGCAGATAAGCAGAATGTTAGACTGGGAATCTGGGCAATGTGTACTTCCAAAGAAAGCAAGCAGTGCTTTTAGGATCCTGTGGTGGAAGTTGTGTGTTACAATGCTTTAAAATGGAAACTGAGGTTAAGGTTTACTGTACAATCTAGACTTTTAATGGCCACTGTCTTTCAGAACAGGATATGTAGATCAGCTCTACAGATAGGTTGCAGAATCATTTGTCAAGAGATAAACTTTTTTCTCCAGTTGCATCACTAATCACTTTACCTTTCCTCTCGCTTTTGCCCAAAATTAGGCTACTTAAGCTCCAAACCTATAGGTACTGAAATGCAGAACAATACATGTATATACAGAATATTCTAGCATGTGGTTTGTGGGGTGGAAGAGGTCATTGCCACCACCCTTTGCATCAGTCCCTCATTTGCTGGTTCTTGTTTGATCTTGGGATTCTAATGACAAAGTAGATCCCAGAAACCTGCTACTTACCGGCTTAAGAGCATTAATTAAAATCCCCCCTGCCTTGTGCTTGTTTTCTTGCTTTCCAGGGAGATCTGGGCTGGATGAGCAGAGGCTCCATGGTGGGCCCCTTCCAGGATGCAGCGTTCGCCTTGCCCGTCAGCAGCATGGACAAAGCGGTGTACACTGACCCCCCTGTTAAAACCAAGTTTGGATATCACATCATCATGGTTGAAGGGCGAAAATAATAAACAGCAGATGCTACCCCGGGAGTTCTTGTCTCCTGTTTTTCTCTCTCCTTGTCAAGGGTTGTGAAAAAATAAAGATGTGGCTTTGCTTGCAGTGCGTGTTGAGGCTAAGAGGTGGCATGAAGTCATTGGTGCTTTTTTCTCTACTTGCACCAATCTACGTGGCATTGTTCCACAATATATAGGCCTCCCAGTTTGTCCTGGCTTTTTTGGAGGCCCAAAATTTGACTCCAGGGGCACCTGGTAGAAGTATGAGTGGCAAAATGGAAAAGGTTCCGCTGCGTTTGTTTCTTCTGCGTGCAGCAAGTCGTCTTTAGTTCGTCTTTGGGATTTTGTTTCTGTATTTCATTTGCTGCCTTATTTATGTCCGTTGAAACCTCATTTCGTTGGCCCCCTTCTTACACCGGCAGGATCAGACCCAGGGCCTGCCCTCCATCTACAGTGCATTGTTCTCCCCTAGATCCTTCCCCCAGTCGTTTCTCAAAGCTTTTTGCGCAGAGAGGCTGGAGAGGAAATGCATCTCAAACATGAAGCACCAACCTGAAGATGTGTGGACTTCAACCCCCAGAATTCCCCAGCCGGCCATTGCTTTTGTCGGTAATAATTGTGCGCTGTGTCGGTCCCAAAACCAGAAGTTATTTCTTGGTACTAAAGATGCAGGGACTAAACGGGGAGGCTTTTTAATAGTGGCCCGGCTTGGAAGGGTTAATCCCTTCCGCGTTCTGCCCTGTCACGTGGCGCCCGCCCTCTGGAACGCGCGTCACATGACACAACATCACAAGAGGGAAGAGGTTCCTCTCGTCTCCCCCAGCGAGTTTTTAACTTATTTTCCTTCTGCGGAAGACGATTGGCTAAGC